CAGGATTCCTCTGTGTGAAGTCCCAACTAAAGACTAATTTACAATGAAAAATTACAAAACACAGAGAACAATCCATAAAAAGCAAGAGTTAGCAAACAAAACAAAAATCAATATCAAAATCCCATGAACCTCAGATAATATAATTATCAGATTATAAAACAAATATTTTTAAAGTTATAAAAGTCATAAAAGAAGTACTAAAGGACACAATAAAAGAATAAGACACCATCAAAAAAGACCAGACTGCGTTAAATAAGAAATCAAATATAACTGCAGAAATTAATAAAAATTACAGTTGAAAACTTAATATGTTAAACTGAAGATTATGTATCACTGAATAAACAACTAGTGGATGGAAAGATAGATCTGAGGCCTAGCCAGAGGCCTGCGCAGAGAAATAAAGAGAGACAACACATGGAGGGGGCTTACTGACATGGATGTGGAATGGGAGGGTCCAGTACACACCTATCAGGTGTTCCAGAAGGAAACAATAGAGAAAAATAGAGGTCAGGCAATATTTCAAGAGAATAAATCAGAATTTTCCAGAATTAACAAAAGATACAAACCTTAGCAAGTTAGTAATACAAAATACTCTACTAGACACAACATAGTGTAGTAGAAAGGAGAAAGGCAAGATCTTAGAAGCACTTGTACATAAATGACCTGTTGCCTGCAAAGGAATAAGTATCAGATTGTCCAGAATTTTGCAACAGCGACAATAGAAGCCAGAATAACATATTCAAAGTACTAAGAAAAAATAACAATCAACTTTCAGTATAATTGAACTATCATTTAAGAATATGGGCAAAAATAAAAACATTTCAGACAAATGAAAATGAAGAGCATTTACCACTTACAGATCTTTGCTGAAAGAATTAATCAAGAATGTACTTCGGGCCCTGGCTGATTTGGCTCAGCAGTTAGAGTGTCAGTCCGCGGACCAATGAGTTGTAGGTTTGATTCCGGTCAAGGGCACATACCTCGGCTGTGATTCCTCCCTGGCCTGGTTGGGGTCATGTGGGAGGCAACCAGTCGATGTGTCCCTTTTAGGTTGATGTTTCTCTCTCTCTTCCTCTTTCTCCCTCCCACTCTCTCTGAACAAAAATGGAAAAATGTCCTTAGGTGAGGATGAAAAATAAAAAGAATGTACTTTGGAAGAAATTGATCCTTAACAGAAGCGGTGAGATGTATGGTATTAGATAGAGTTGAACAAATATTTAATATTTATAAAATAATTGGGGAGTAGAAAAACAAGGTGGAATGAAGGCACTGGTCTGAGTAGTATGTAAGATGGGCAGGAGATGAGCACAGGTCAGGCATTCAGGCATTTTGGGGAGAAAGGTGGCAATATTTATTAACTTTAGATTATTAAAATCAACCATGCTTATTAAAAGTTCTGTAAAGGTAATCACTTAAGATGAAAAATTATACGTATAATTTTTAAACCACTAGAGAGAACACATTGACTATTAAACAGTTGGTCGATATTAACTAAGTGCAAGAAAGGAAAAAAGAATTAGAGAAAAATCAGGTTAAGTATAAAGTATAAAACAAGATGACTCAAAGAAATTCAAATACAGCAGGATTCAGAAAAAGGTAAAAGTAAACTCTCAGTTACAAAGACAGATTGTCAATTGTATTGGATTAGAAAAATTCAACTATCGCATTAAAAAAGACATAGTCAGAACTTAAGGACAAAAAAAATGTTGAATGTAGAAATATAGAAAAATACTAGCCCCAATAAAATGGTGCAGTTATCATTAGAGGAGACGAGGTTGTCTTTGAAGCAAAAAAAAAAAAAAAAAAAAGAAAGGCATATTAAGGGAAAGAACATCACTAAAGACAAAAAGTAACAATTCACTGAGAACAGATAATTATAACTTGAAGGCACCTAAAACATAGCATCAAGTTATACAGGCAAAAAGTAGATAAAATTTTGAACTTAAATGGACAATTGCATAGTCGTAGGGGGATTTAATACATCTCTTCAGTAATTGATAGTTTAATATTACCAAAAGTTAGCAAAGCTGTAGACCTGAATGACACAATGAGCAGGCCCGATCAGACACTCATCTGGAGAATGCACATTCTTCTCAAGAACACATGACACATTGACCAAAATATCACATATTAAGCCACAAAGCATTTCTTGTTAAACAGCAATGAATTATACAGACCACATTCTTGAAAATACTCAATTGCTAGACAACAAACGCAACAATGAAAACCAAACCATATATTTGGATTTTTTACAGGAAAAAACCCTCTAAATAATTTATGACTATAAAAAGTGTGTTAATGGAGGGCCTAAGAACAAATTGTTAACATTAATAAGGAAGGTCAGTGAGGTCACTGACTATAAAGAAGTCAATTTTTATTCACCAGCAATGAGCAACTAGAAAAATACAATTTGGAAAATATACAGTATATATGAAAATAGCAATAAAAAAAGGGACTAGACATAAATCTATCAAAAGATGTAGAAAACTTTTATGTGTGAAATTCTTGAAGACCTAAATAATGGAAAGATACCCAATATTGATGGCTTTGTAGAATCAATTTCTAAAATGTTAAATTTCTGCAATTTATAAGTTGAATGTGTTCCTGGTAAAATTTAAATGAGGTTTTTGAGGTTCACAAATGGACTCAAATAAGTATAAGACAGAAAAGAACCAAGAATGCCAGGAGAATTTTGAACAGATCAAGCCAAAAGAGCTCACTCTCTACCACCACCATAGCAAGACTTAATTATAGCTCAATTAAGTAATAATAAAGTGTGATATTAGCTCAGGGAGAGACAGAATAGAGTCTAGAAACAGGCCCACACACATAAGGAAATTTGTATATAGCAGAGATGCTATTTCAAGTCACTGGGAAATGAGAACTTTGAGCAAACAGCCTTGGAACAATTGGTTATTCATATGGAAGAAATAAGTTAGAGTCCCTACATCAAACCATATTTAAATGGTTTAAAGACTTAACATATGACAAAGCATGACTTTAAAGATTTGGATGAAAATTAAGCAGAATGTTTTTATGTTCTCAGGGTAGGAAAAGATTTCTTAAATGCAACACCAGAAGCACAAACCATAAATAAAAAGATCAACAAATTTGACTACATATAATACTTTTAAAATCCCTTTGTACATTAAAGATACCATAAACAACGTGAAAAATACAAACCTTAGACATGGAGATGTTTGGCATGCACACAACCAAGAAAGGATTTGGCCCAGAATTTATAAACAGGTCCAATGAAGAGGCCAAATGGTATGAATGGGCAAAAGATCACCAGTGGTCTAAAGCAAGAAAAAACATGCTCCTCCCTCCTGGTAATCCATGTCATGTAAATTAAACAAAGAGGAACTGATATTACATACTCATTATATTGACAAAAATGAAGGAAAAAAAAAATCTGAAGATGCCAAGCCCTGCTAAAGGGAGTATAAATGGACACACATTTGGAGGACAGGATGGCAATATCTAATAATGCACCCGGAGGGCTGGTCCAGAGGGTTTGAACATCAGCTTCACACAATATTGTTTATAACAATGAAAAATCGGAAGAAAGCTTAAATGTCCAGGTACAGGATCTAGCAAGGAATAGTTGTTGTATTAAACATATTGAATACAAATGTGTTTGATTCTTTTATTTTCTCTATATATTTTTGTATGCCTGAATATATTCTAGTTTAAAAAATTAGACTTGTAAGGGTTATGGAGAAAAGACACTTAACACATAGCTGGTGCGACTACTTTCAAGGGTAAGTTAAAACGTTACTGTGGTGGTCCTTTTTAACAACTTGAATAAACGAAGGTGGAAGTTTGGTAACAATGTATACTGGCAAGAGTGCTGGGAAACAGGCACTGGTATGTATTGCAGGTGGGAATATAGTTGAAGCACACCTCAATGGAGGTAATTTTGGCATTATTTAACAAAACTAAAATTCCTTTGACCTAGCACAATTTTCTCTGGGTATTTATTCTGAGAAAATAGCCATTATTAGAGCAAAGGTTTATCCACACAGAAGTTATTCTCAGTAGCCACAACATTTTGTCATGTTGTTAATTAAAGAAACAACCTAACACTACCTAGACTAGTAACACTAGATTAATAATGTCTCACACTAATCAGTTCTAATTTATGGTATAACTGTAGGATGGAATATTATGCAGCCACCAAAATAATATTGTTGAAACTGTTTAATGATGTAGAAACACTTGCAAAATATTAAGCTAAAATCAAGTAGGTTACAAAATAGTATGTAGACCATTAAAAAGATCTGTCTTTTATTCACTGAAGCAAAGACACCAAATCTTACCAATAGTTATTTCTCAACAGATAATAGGTGATTTCTGTTTTCTTCAAGATACTTTTTGGCCTTTCCCAAAAATTCTGTGTGTAATTTTCATTTTAATAGGAGAGAGGCATCTTTGTTTAAATAATTAAAACAGCTTAATGAATTACAGACTGATAAATCACGCCAGAAGGCAGGGAGCGAAGAAATACAGACTTGCTGAGTTCCTGGGGAAGTCTGAGTTTTTGAACATCACAGAATCCAGCGAGACTGAGGACCTGGCTTCACCCGTGACGTCACCACAGGCAGGCTGGGTGCCTGGGGAGGCTTCTCGACCTCTCTGAATCTACTCTCGCCTCCATAAAGGGCCTAACAGCCTCGGCAGGCCTCGCTACTGGCTTTGTTATGCAGGTCGGCGAGACCAGGCCACGCGTGCCAGCGCGGTTTGCAAACCCCAAGCGCACGGCGTTCCGCCCGGATTGCTGTCGCCGCTGCCGCGAAGAGCAGCAGCAGCAGCAGCAGCGACGCCAGCTTGAGGGCGCGCGGGGGCGGGGACACGCGGGCCCAGGGCGCTGGGGCGGGCACGGGGCGGGCACGGGGGCGCCCCGGGCTGCTGGCTGGCGGGGGGAGGGCGGCCTGCCGTTTCCGTCACCGCCGGGGATTCCCCTGGGCCGGCGCCCGGGGAAGTCCCTCTGTAGCGGGTACAAGAGCGCGACGCCAGCGCGCCACAGGCCGACAATCCCCCGTCATGTCTCACAGCCTCCAGCTCCTGCTCCTCAGCTGCGGTAGGGCCCGAGACCGTCTGTCACCCCCCGTTTCGCCACGACACCCCCTTTCCTCGTTTGCTCACGCCGCTGTCTCTCTCCCTCTTGCAGCCTGCAGCCTGGCGCCAGCGGCTCGGGAAGTGAAGGTAGCTTGTTCCGAGGATGCGAACTTGCCTTGCACCGCCCCGAGGGACCAGCAGGTCCCCTACGCCGTCTCCTGGGCCAAGGTAAGCTCCCGGACGCCCGCAGGCTGCGGTGTGGTCGGCTCCATCGGCGGCAGCCGGCGACCTCACGTACCGGGGGGTAGGGGTGTCTCCGCCGCTGAACTCCAAGTACCCAGTCTTCCGACACGCCCCCCGACCCTCACCCCAACTCTGTGCGCCTCCGGGTACACTGCAGACTTGGATTTTGTTCCAGAGGACCTCAGTCCTCTCCGGCCCCTACAGGTGGCCCGAGATGAATGACCCACATTACACGTCTCGTTTGGGGAGGGCAGATAACCTCGTTGGGTTAACTGTGGAGGTCACCTGTGCTTGGGTCGGTAGGCCAGGGAGAAAGCAGCTAGGGCAGATTTGGACATTGGACAGGAGGCTTTCTGATTTTTGGTGTTTTGTGACTGTGATGCCCATCAATTTGGGGTTAGAGGTGGGAGATTTGAAAGGAAGGACTGAGAGAGAGACGTGATTTAGGTTTGTTTCATAGGTGGTGGTTCTGTGCCAGTCACCCCCTTTCCCGGGTGCCCTTGGTCTCCTCCTCAACCTTTGCTTCTCCATCCTCTGGCAGTTCTGAGAGGTCCAGCAAAGAGGGAGTCTGTGAGGGTCCATGAGCAGTGTCCACACGTGTGAGAACAATTGTCGTTCACCTTAGTGAGAGGATTGAGGCTTTTTAAAGGTTTCCTCTCGGCAGGAAATTTTCAGATTCTAAGATTGCAGTTCTAGTGACATTGCAAAGCCAAGCCACCACGGTTTGCTGTCCCTGGTCCTTTGTTTGCCTCCTTTAATGAGGTGACTGCCTCCAGTTTAAGCCAAGTGAGTATGCTATCCCAGCCTTATTCTGCAGCTGTCACTCACTTGCCATCTTACTTGGGAGCAAATCTCTGTGCATTTGTCCCTTTCTGTCAAAGCAGAGTTCTCTTCTGTCCAGCACAAAAGATGTTCGAAGAACCTGAACATGCATCTGACCCTTTAACAAGGCCGTTGTGTGTGTGTGTGTGTGTGTGTGTGTCCTCTCCTAAGCAGATTGTCAGTTCCCTGGAGACAGTCTGCACACTGCTTTTGTGTATTCTGAAGGGCATCCACTGTTTGCCCTGTTAATTGTGAAGGCAGGTGCTCAGTGATTCAGGCTGGCACTTGGTGAGTTATGTGCAGTGGAAGTGGAGCTTCGGCCGTGGGCACAGTGTTGGGTATGAAAGTAGGCTTGTCATTATTCCTACTCCATTTCCTCTTTATTCATAGTGGGATCAGAGAACACATTTCCAAATTGTTCTCATTGTAAAAACAATACTATTTAGCCCTAGCCGAGTGGCTCAGTTGGTTGGAGCATCATCCTGAACACCAAAAAATCAGGGCTTGTTTCCAGGTCAGGGCATGCACATACCTAGGTTGTGGGTTCAATTCCCAGTCAGGGACTCGAATCGGGGGTCAACCAATGAAAGTTTCTCACATTGATATTTCTCTCTCTCTCTCCAAAATCATTAAACATATTCTTGGGTGAGGATCAAAAAAGAAAGAATACTATTTAAACAAAAATAGTGTAAAAGCAATATTATTTGAGAGCTCACCACCTGCTAAACTCTGAGGTAACTATTTGCATGTATTAGCTGTTTCAATCCTTCCAAGAGATCAGTACTATCATTTCTGCCTTAGAGATGAGGAAGCTGAGCCTTAGGGAGCGAAAGAACTGGCTCACTGACACATAACTGGCTAACTGGGGGAGTTGGGATCTGAATCTAGTGGTCTGACTTCACAACCTGAGTTCCTAAAAGACTACCTTAAAGTTTGTTTTCTCTCTTAATTACCTAAGGCAGCGTTTTCAATGATGTGCCATGGTAGGCACACTGATATGCTGCAAGAATTTTTAACACACGCAATACCTGACTGTTTAGTCAGGGGCACTGCCCTCTTTCCCCTTAAATTGACAAATAAAAAAGTGACAGTGATAGCCTGGCCAGTGTGGCTCAGTGGTTGAGCATTGACCCATGCACCAAGAGGTTGCCAGTTCGATTCCCGGTCAGGGCATATGCCCAGGTTGTGGGCCCAATCCCCAGTGGGGGCATGCAGGAGGCGACCAATCGATGTTCTCTCTCATTGATGTTTCTGTCTCTCTCTTCCTCCCTCTCTCTAGTATCAATAAAGAAAAAAACTTTTTAAAAATGACAATAGCCAACACAATACTAGTCATCCAGTGTAAATGACTCAAAAATATACCTATTTTTTTGGTCAGATTGGCAAAAAATATATTTTGTAGTATGCTGCAGAATTTTAGTGATCAGTTTATGTGTGCCATAAGATGAAAAAGGTTGAAAAATCACTGACTTAGGGTAAAGAAAACAAAAATGTCCCTGGGCTAGCCAGGAAAAAACTTAGTTTTCTTAAAGAAGGGGAAAACATGAAACCACTATTCTTTCTAGAGAGTAATTAAAAAGAGAAAACAATATTGATATCCCCAAGGGAGTAATGAAAAAGTACTCATGAAACAAGCAGATGAAATTTCAGACTGTAAAGTTCAAACAGTTGTCAAGTTAAATCTTCCTGCACGAGGTCCCTTGGAATGATATAGTGAACCATAGCAATTAGCTTTCGGCTTCTCCTTGGGTGTCAGCTGAGGAGGTAACTCCATAACGTATGCACTTGTTTACGGAACATGGTTCTTGTATGATTTACCCTGAAGGTCTCTCAAAGCTGTGTTAAGAAAAAAGACAACAGTCTCTCTTGGTATTCTCTTTGTTTTTCTGCTGGTCCCTGGAATAGAGTCTTTGAAAATTCATACCATCGTTATTCTTTTTAAAGAAAATAAACCGTGATTGCGTAGTGGTGGATAGGAGAGCCATGCTAGGCCAATACACTAATCAGATACCTTGAAAAAGAGACGCATTGTTCCTTCAAGAACTTTTTAACAGGTCTCAGCATATTCTGTAGGTATTTGTTATTTTCCAACCCAGTAATTATACTTTTGCATCGATTGTTCTTGTACAACACACATAGACTGTTCTGGAAACAAGGCCAGCGGTGAAACACTGACGTACTTGGTTCTACAGAGGGACTTTCTTCTGAAACGTCTCAGTCAAGCAGAGGGAGCTCTGAAGGGAGGAATTTAAACCTGGTGACCACGGCCAGCCTGGCTCCCACCACCTCCTTCGTCATCACGCGTGTGGTCTGTGAACCCTCTTTAAACAGTCATGGGTTGCCTGCTGGACAAGTAAAAAAGTCCCTTCGAGTGTGGGTTTTCACTGCCCACCGGCTTCAGTCACATTCGTGCAGGCCTTCTGCATATCACCATTATGGTGATACTGACTCACACGTCAAAACTCCACTTCCCACGGAGTTCTCCAGCCTGGGCATCCTGCCCCTGTCCAGTCGGCCCTGATCACTTGTGATGAACAAAAAGGACCTGTGTAAACCGTGTGTTTCTTATCATGTGCCTTTTACCAAAAGACTCAAAGCAGACGGTGTCCAATGAGTGCTTGTGACATTAGGGTGAGTGGGGGAGGAACAGCATCCATTTTATTCTCTGTTAAGAAGGCACCGTGAGAGGGGCCAGAAGGGGCTTAATATAGACATGCATGGGGGGGGGGGCACAGGTGCAGTCAAGGGTAGGCAGTGATAGCCCAGTTCCTGTTAACCCAGCTTGACTTTCCTCCTCTCTGGGCCCTCCTCGCATGCCTTCCTGTATTGTACCTTTTAAGGCAGAGTAAGTGATTGAGAAGAAATAGAAAAATGAATACAGTACATTCATTAAACTTAACTTTTTTTTTTATCCTCACCCGAGGACATTTTTGCACTTATCTTCAGATAGAGCAGGAGAGAAAGAGGAAGGAAGAGAGAGAGAGAAACATCAATGTGAGAGAGACACATCAAGTGGTTGCCACCCACACGACCCCAACAGAGGTCGGGGACAAGCTGCAACCGAGGTACGTGCCCTTAACGGGAACTGAACCCAAGACTCTCTGATCCGCAGGCCGATGCTCGAACCGCTGAGCCAAACCATCCAGGGCAATTAAATTTAACTTTTAAAGCTGTGAATAGATTGTGGTTGGTTGGGGAGGTATTTAGAGAAAATTCGCAAATAGACTTTGTTCCAGCACTCTTCTTCCACTGGCTGTGACCTTGGGTTAGATTCTGGCATAAGAGGGCACAGCATGATCCCGTGTCTGCCAGGACGAAGACCATCCATCCAGGGGCTACCCCTGAGCTGCAGGCTGAGCGCCATTGCTTCACACCCTCTTTAATGAAGCTGCACTGGGTTGGGGGGGGGGGGACACTGGGTGGAGTGTCTGGGCATGGTGGATATTTGCTACTACTACTAATGAGTGATTATTAATTAGGAAGATGGAGTACCATTTTTATCACGCTAGGAGCCCTGACAACCTACGTTGATGCATAACGAAAGAGGATATATAGTTCATCTCTGGGTGACACTGCGGGGGTGAGGACAGAGCTGCATCACAAGACTAGTGCCCTTTTTAGATGATTTCCAAAGGAACGGAGAAAGGAGAAGTACGACTGGTTTCAGGGAATAGGTCAGGCTCGAAGTTGATAATATTTATTTATTTTATTTATTTATTTTTTATCCTCACCCGAGGACATTTTTGCATTTAACTTCAGATAGACCCAGATAGACCGGGAGGGAGAGAGGGAGGAAGAAGAGAGAGAAACATCAATGTGAGAGAGACACATCAAGTGGTTGCCACCCACACAACCCGCAATTGGGGCTGGGGACAAACTGCAACTGAGGTACATGCCCTTAGTGGGAACTGAACCTGGGACTCTCCAGTCGGCAGGCTGACGCTCTAACCGCTGAGCCAAACTGGCCAGAGCTCGAAGTTGATAATATTTAGAAGAACCCTAGCTGTGGGAGATAATGGGGTATCCTGTATCCTGTGGGTGAGCAGGTTAATGGCTTGCATGAGGCTACTTCACCACACAGATATTTCTTGTTCTTCATTCATTCTGACGCTGTCTTCCATGTCTATTGCTAATCTCCTGTTCAGTGGATTTATATTTTCTGT